TATTCTTCCTAATTCTGGGCTGGTTTGCTTCTCAAACTCAAAGAAAGAACAGATTCTTCCTGCCAGATGCCCTACAGCTTCAAGCTGTACAACAATCCCAAATTTTCCCCTAGTCCAGTGTTCTCACCAGCCTTTTACCCTATTTTAAATCTCCTATTTCTGAAATTGGTCCGGCTTTCTCCCTATCCAGCTGGATTAGTAATTCACATCCAACAATGAAGGTAAGGCCAAATGGATTTAAACAGGTCCTGACATGCTCTGTATTCCAACCAGCCTCACCAGCATGCATCTCTCCCTCTACATCTTCTGACAGCAACTGAAAGGGGAAATAAGTCTATAAGTCATCATATTAATGATATTGCATTATTTGAACTGAATTTGGAATTATATAAATCGTGTTTAGTTTTTGTCTTCAACCTGCCTGTATCATGGGCTGGCCTCTGCCCCCCACCCCGCACAAGTTGTGCATCCTTGATTTATAGTAAGTACTTGTGGGATTGATTTCTATAGACTAGAGAGCACATCTCTGCCCAAGGTAGGTTCCCTCGACCCTTTTCATCTTTTCTCTGTCATTATTTCACAGTAATAGCACTAACTGTAATAGCCTCATAGTGCTCTTATATTAATGGTCAGTCCTTTTTTTTTTTCCCCTGATGAAATGGAGCATTCTTAATTAAGTGCAGTAAGATCAAGGATCACTGAGTTCTGCATCAGATTAAACAGATTTTTACTTATTCTCTGAACTGTTCTTCAGCAGAGGATTCACTGTCAACACAGAGATGGTTAAATTGCTTAAAATTGGTTGGTGCTACCTGACTGGTGAAGCCTGAGTCTCAAATGTGCAAAAGTAGATTCCATATGCAATTATACCATTGGCTTTTCTTTGAAGGTCTGACTCATCACAGCTGACTTGATAGCTGACTGGGACTGTGTTCATAAAACACCCCTATGGAGCCAAAAGCAGGAGGGCTCTGTTCTTTTTGAAAAAGAGTTCTATTACCTGTTCTAGAAAGGTAATGACAATGGAGATAATACTATCATTCACCTGATGAAATATTGATGCTCATTAAGATATGTAAAAATCCACATTTCAAAGGTGATTGGGTAATATGTTCTTGAAAAAGGGAGAATTGTTAAATGCTCATCTGCTCCTTGACTTCACCATGAAAAAATTAAAAGGTAAAGAATCTCTCAAGTCCATCTCAGTGCCTGGTGAATATATAAATGCATCCATAGAATTTGATTGCAATGAGCAATGTGCCTGAAATTGAGCAGCCCAATTGGATCAACTTAACATACCCAGGAACATCTTCCTAAGTAGCTAGACCCCTTTCTTTAGGCCAGTGAGATATTTATACTATGTAACTGTCCCTAAACTCCAAAGAGTACTCAGCACACTTTAATGTCCTCCCTACAGCAGTCCTTGAGGGTCAGTGATGTAGGTAGGTAGGTAGGTAGACCTTAAGACCTATGACATTGTAGAGAAAGGTCTATTGAATCCAGAGCCCATGTTATACTGCATTTTTATAAGGATGAAAGGGCCCATCTTAACACTCCTTATTTAACAAAGTACCCAGGGAATTCTGATATATTTTATCTACAGTCACTATTATCAGAACAGTGTGGTCCAGTTTGTGGCTGAAAGTGGCTAAATTTTGCTATACTGTTTGTAAAACCGGACATACTGTGATTGCATTGAGTGTGTCTTGCTATAACTATACTGTTTTATTCTGTTTCATCTGCTGTTAACTTGTCGAATTCTGGAGAGTGGCCGTAATAAAATGCTTTGGTGTTTTTATGTCTTTGAGTCAGTCTTGACTTCTGGTGATTGCCTGGAGAAGTCTATAGAGTTTTCTTGTCAATATTTTCTGAAGTGGTTTGCCATTGACTTTTTTCCAGGGCTAAGAGAGAGGGATTGGCCTAAAGTCACCCAGGTGGCTTCTATCCCCAAGGCAGGACTAAAACTCAGCTCTCCCCATTTCTAGTCCAGAGCCTTAACCACTAGGCTTATAGAAAAGGAAAAACAGCATGGTGGGATTCAGAGACAATGTAACAGAAGAGCATAGAGAACAGAATAAAGAGTGGCAATAGCATATACGTAAAGAATAAAGTTATTATACAGAGAATATAAGTAGGCATTTTATATCAACAGCCCTGAAATTTCCTGGTGGTCTCCCATACAAGCAGTAGCCAGGTTTGCTTATTTTTTTTTTTTTAAGATCAGCCAGATGCTACCACCAAGATTGAAATAGATGACTTCAATACTGTATACTAAAGTAGCAAAGGAAAAGAAAAACTCTTCATTAGATGATATTTTTTGGTGTATCGAAATAGTGCTTATTGAGGCTATGAAGCATTTCCAATTTGATTTCTAAAGATATTTTGGAGTGTGCAAGAAGACAAATTTAGCATCGATGTGCAACACCTTAAAGCAGACTTTTCCTAGCACATGAGTCTGCTTAGTTCACCTCGGTGGATGATCAATGCTGGAAACTAGAACAGGGGCTGGAAATTATCCTACAAGTTCTTCTGGACTTCTTGGGGACTTTTAATACAATAGTATCTTTCTGCTGCATGGTGAACATTTTTGAACATTCTTTTGCTGTAGTTCTGGTCCCTCCTGTTGACACATGCCCAAAAGGTTTTGCAGGAGACTACTGTTCAATGCAACAGTGGTTGACCAATGGTGCCCCACAAGATTCTATCTTGTCCCCTAGTCTAACATCTACAAAAAAACACTAGGGGAATTCATTCATTACTTTGGGATGGGAAGTCATCAGTATGCTATCATCCAAAGAAGCAACTTCCACTCTTCCTGAACAGGTTGGACTCAGCAACAGTTATCTATTCCTTGCTTACAACTCAGTATGATTATTGCAACACCTTTTATATGAAACTTCTTTGAAAAGCGTCCAGAAATTGCCCTTGTACGAAATGTGCCACTATGGCTTTTAATAAGTAAAAAGAACAGAGATCACATGATACCTGTATTGAAAGAGCTGTATTGGCTACCAGTTGCCTAAATAACACAAGTTAAGGTACTAGTTTTGACCCTTAGAGGCCTAAATGGCTTAAGACCTGACTAACTTAAGAACTGTTTCTCCCACTATGAATCTGCCCTGTTACTTATATCAACAAGGGAGAGGTTTCTGAAGATGCTGGTAGAGCCCAGCTTTCTGGTTCACATGAGGAGGACTTCTCCACTGTGTCATTCTATGGTTTGCTCTCCCCAAGGTGGTGTTTTTGACCATCACTTTTCAGGAAAAGAGTAAAGTTGCCTTTTTTCCGAGCTGTTATTTGTTAATTGCTATAATGAAACAGATGTTAGTGCTCAGTTTTTATTTTAATAGCATCAGTTTTATTCTTGTGCTTTATATTTTGTATATTTTTTTAAAAAGTTGTAAGCTGCCTTGAGTGTTTACACTAACAAAATGGCAGGGCAAGATATCGTTAACAAATAAATAAAGGTATGGCTGACTTAAGGTGCTGTAGATAGATGCTATCTTTACCCTCTCTCATGCTCTTTTGGGGACTTTTTGGGGATCAAGTTCCAAATGCTGTTCAGTATTCAGCCATCTTTCTGAAAAAATATTTCACAGGTTCTTAGACTTCTAGAATCAGAGTTGGAAAGAGCCATTTCAACCATTAAGTCCAACCTCTTGGTCAGGATGGCCATCTGAATGAAAAGGTCTCTGGCAGATGTTTGTCACTTCCCTTATACATGCTTCCCTTACAATCCTTCCAGATGATGCTTTTATGGTTAATTGCCCTGTCTAATTCTTAGAATTTTACAAGGCATTCAGACAGTAGCATTCTCCAGTTCTAACCTTCCTCTCTATTCCCACTTCTTCCCTCATTTTCTGAGACAAATCTGAGAAGAGGAAACAATTACTCAATATTATCTGAAGGGAAGTGCTAGCAGTTTATCAACTGGATGTGCTACTGGATGAGGGTTTTGCTTTTACTCCACACGCTATACCAGTGCTTCTCAACCTTGGCAGCTTGAGTGTGTGGACTCCAACTCCCAGAATGTGTGGACTCCAACTCCCAGAATTCCCCAGCCAGCAAGGCTGGCTGGGGAATTCT